TGAGCACTGTATCCGTTACTTTATTAGGATTGGACCACTCATTATATTAGCGCACTGATATCACTCAAGCGTAATCAGAAGATTTGGGAGGAATTTGAGTTTGTCGGGGAAATAATTAATTAAAAATACAACGAGAAAACGAAGAACCAACTGATATCAACGTGGTAAAGAATGACCTGAAGGACACCAATCAATAACACTTAGCCAGTAGTCACACTTAGCAAAGCGCATTTTCCTATCCGAGACTTAAAACATCACCTTTTGGAGGATCAGTTGACGGGTGGTCGCAAGAAAAATGCACTAGTAAGTTTCTATGAATTAATATTGAAGCAATGGGATCAGCAACTTATGTTGTATCCATTAAGGCTGTCAAAGTGATTTTGTTGATGAGTTTTACAGTGAGGCATACTGACTAGGATCAAACAATAAGTCCTTACTCATCAATTCTGAAATCTGGAGTGTGTTGTTGCTTCGTTAGTTGTGCCTTCTCTTGTAACTGAACTGAGATCAGGTTGTGACCACCATAATGAGTTGACGTGCGCCGCTAATCAACGTACTACGCATGCTACAAGAGACAGAAACGGAGACAGAAGTATATAGCGGTATGGCACATCACACTTACAAGACTCTAAGTCTTTGAGGTTCTCCGTTTATTTCAAAATAGTACGGAACTAGAGAAAGTGATACATATAACAATCATACGCACGCTAGTTAAAAGACATAGACGAAAAGAAATTTGATTATTGTTATTATTATATGATCATTGAATGTTTATTGTCTACTGGTTCGTTTGTTTGATCACTGTATCGTATCGGGAGTCTTTGCAGTACTTTTGCATGATGATCTTTTTGTCTGTAGGGAAACTTCGATAAAAAGCAGAATGATCAATATCTTCCGAGTAATTCTTCGCGTATCCCAAAAAATTTGGAAGATGGTTTTATCCGGGCTAGGAACATAAAAGGGATGATGAATTTATAAGACCGAAAATTTGAAGGATTATCAATCCAATATTATATCTTTGATCGTAACCCCCCCTACAGACGTAGTAAAAGCAACGCATCTATGCAATGTTTCTGTCCGTTTTTATGGATATCAGTGACACGGTAACACAAGATGATTCTAAAGTAGGAACCACTTCTTTTTTAACTAACGCTAGTTCATAGTTTCAGCAATCGTCTAATCAATTTTTTAACAAAACAAACTGAGCAAATATGTTTTACCACACGGGGGGAAGCTTCCAGGATCATTATGCAATGGAATTTACCTTGTGGAGGTTATAAATTGAATACAAGATATCCATGCCGAAATTATAATGTTGACCTATATTTCTAGGTTTCTTTGAAGCTTAGGTATAACTACTTTATATGCATGAACCCCACATTGGAGTTCATTCGGTCCCCACAGTAACTACGGAAAGAAAACACAGAACTTGCGCGCAGTTTTACCCTTGAAGTTTGAGTTATTACTACTCTCGGAAAAATTACTTTGGTCAAAAGAGGCGTATCATAGAATCTCAGGTAGAGGAGGGTTTCTTCTGTTTAGACATACGTCACAATGATTGAAACCAGTGGCTTACTCCACGTCAACTTGACAACATTTTGAATGGATTTGAAGTTATTTGTCAAGCCGCAGAAGTCTGCGGAAAGTGCAAGCTGAAGGTCTTTATATGTGAGTCCTATTGATCATATGATGAGGCGCTCTGCTGGTCAATTTTAAATATAAATGATGTTGCTTTCAATAAGTTCCTGGATTGAAGTATAATATCATTGGGAAACAGATGAAATAAAAAGCAGTGCAATAGAAATTACTATTCTAAAAGGTCGGAGCTAGTCAGTGCTCGGGTCTGTAAAGGGGAAATCTGCAATCTAAGATCGTCTTATCTTAGAGGATACCGCGAATCATTCAGTGTGCTGTGTAGACTCATTCGTGTGAATGCAAGTGTGTTGTTTAAATGTGTGATCGTTTTTCTTGAAAATAGCATATCATTCAATTGCATGAAGGTGAACGCTGACGCGAGACTGCTCGTTAAATGAGTGAGCAAGCATGACAGGTTCCCGTCATCTGGGAATGATCTGGGCTGAACGACGCAGTTTTCTAACTCGTAGAGACTAAGGTATTTAGTTTTGGTTTTCAGTTCATCTGTAGAGTTTATTGGTCCACGAACAAAGTGAAACTCTGGAAAACATTTGATCAGTTATTCTAAAGTAAAATTTAGCCCGTGGACAATGTGAAAAGGTTAGGTTTAAATGAAGATTTGAAAAAAATATGCATTATGCAGCGAAAGAAATATGTAGGGAGATAAATTCAGTAATAAAAATTGATCAATGTGGAAATTTATACTTTTGGAAAGAATTCAAAATCTTATTGTACATAAAGTAAATTTTATCGCTATGAACTTAAGGTAATATTTAATTCATATGAAAAAAACCTAATTGTTTCGTTAATTGATTTTTGAGATAACTTGTTATCCTAAAATAATAAGCTGTAACTCTGAAAAATGTAGTTTACGGGTTTGTTGACTAGTTCGGATATCACCCCATTAACCTCCGTTTTCAATTACTGTTTAGGACGATCCATAAAACCGTGGTCTTCTCTCCCCCCATCAGTCACATGTCAAAATACTCTGATATATTTGAGTAAGAGAATTATTATTATTAGTTCTATATATTTGCTCTGGTGTTGTTAACGGGTAATTCAGTTCACTGAAGTTCATTGAAGTTTAGCATCTCTTTCGTACTGTTCATGTTATATATAGTTACTCGTATTTACAAGTTAAATGCAATAATTAACGGAAAAGAATTAGTCAACACCATCTTGATCAGATCAGGGTTTCCGCAGTACGAACTAATTCCACACATCACTTTATATCAACTTTGACCTATTTACGGTTTGTTAGAAATATAAACTTTATCATACTGGGAGAATCAGATGCCATAAATGGCCGTGGATTTGGGTTTTGTGCTGTAACCTTTTATCACATATATCCCAGTTTTACATATGTTTGTTTCTTATGTGAATAGCTTATTTTTCCGAATTTTCTGTCTCTCGTGAGCACTTTTCTACAAATGGATAAAAGTGGCAAATTTGGTTTTCAAGTTATCCGATATATCGGGTATCACGGCTGCAAACACGTGATCTTCAACCGACACGCTCTTTTCAAAATAATGTAAAATACTGCAAATTGGTGGCTAAAAGACAGTAAACCATAACGCAGGGCAAAAGTGCATGTTTTATGATTGGGTTCAGTAAAACTAAAACTGCAATAAAGTGTCATCTCTTTTGATTGACACATTTGCGATCGATGACAAAGTAACATTACCCGCGGTAATTAATAAATTTATCAAAATGATAAAGATTTGCTTCTCAATAAAAAACTCCCTCTTCGAATCGAATTATTCCTAGGGTTATTACGTAGTGAATTCTGTACAAAATGCCAAGTAGAAAACAGTCTGTGGATCTCAATTAACATGTACAAGGTGAACGGACACTCAAATCCTAAACAAATGATTACCGTTTATATATCCTTCATGGATAACCGCGTAACCACTTTAGTACCGTTTCATTATATTTAGAGGAAATAACCAGTCAAATAATCTGGCATTGCGGAAGTGTTCAGCAATTCAGATTCAGCCATTCGGTAGCAGCAAAGATTTTTTCCATTTGGTTTGTATTACTATTACAATTAAAGTAGTAAAACACAAACAAGCCATTAAAATTTTTGTGAAATAAACCAATACAAATGCAGTTACTATTTCAAGTGGCTTCATGATGTGCTGGATTGCTGAGTGTCACCTAAAAGATCTCACTATATGTCAAATATTTTCTCGATTACAGTAGGGTACACATCTTGAATAGCCGAATATTTGTGAGCAAACTGAAACAACTTTTTCAACAACAACTTTTTATAATAATTGAGTAGGTGCTTATGGTATAAGTTTGCTGAACCAAAATGCCATTAACTTCATTCCACAGAAACGAAGAAGGATAGACAAGCATGCCTGTAGAAGTTTGCTTAGCTTTGCTAGTTACCCTTCATTTGATCGCAGGGGATCAACACTTTGGGCCTTTACTCAAAGATCACGCAATCGTGCATAGTCCATGTGGAACCAATTATTAGGTAGGAAAGAACCGCAGAATGCCTTCGTCAGGTCACGCATGTCAGCTGTGTGCCGCGGTGCCAATTCAGCTAAGTAACAACCTCTCTGACTGGGTTAGTGGAGGAAACTACCGCATTGCCACCACATACAACTCGGCATTTAGTACAACGAAACGTTTTCCTGAGCGACTACGATTCGATCGAGCCAATAGCATGATTATTTGCTTGTCGTATGCCATATCTAACGTTCCTTTTTATGTTAGACTCTTTTACAGATGGCTCGAGTAAGACAGTGAAAATCGAGACATCAAACATTGATAGACAGAACTGCATATGGAAGCAGCAAACGCAATGAATGCACACTGATTAGGTTAGGACCGTTATTTTGTTCCTATTAATCAGTAAAATCCCGGACACTTCTGAAAGCAACAGTGAAAATAAGCCAGTAAATAGAGAACATAAAAGTGAAGAGAATGTGAACCTTTATTTGTATCTATACAGTCCTTTGGGATAAATTCGTCTGTTTGACGTAGGCAAGCTTATCCGTTTCGAAATATAACAATCATCTTCTATGGGTAACACGGTGAACTATTAAAATAAACAGTAATAGTCAAATGAAGTCGAAGTCAAGTAAAGCTTTATGTACCCAATAGGATGAAACATGGAACTATTGAAACAAGGAGACCAACTATTAAAACTGGAAAACAATTGCGGTCTAATGAGTTCGAGGTACACGCCTTATGAACTAGGCGGTCTTTCAGTCTGACGAACCCGATTGTACAACAATCAATAATGGATGGATCACGTGCCCGTGCGGACATCACATGATTGCCATCAGAATACCATCCTAAATCACAAATTTGACTTCAGTCTGCTGGGGAGCTTGCCAAAAGACGAGAGAAATATGGCAGTAGACGTAGATGCAGATTTGGAAAATGTCACACGGGAATTGCGTGACCTTCAAGTGAGTTCTTGAGCTCAAACATTTAGAGTGCGTTTGGTCACTGTTTACAGGCATAATAAATTTGTGCACCTCTTTATCCCAAGGACCTTGCCGAATTTATTCAATAGATATACATCAGAAGGTTTGTAAACTTTAAACAAACATTAGACACTGAAAAGGGAAATGCATGCTTATGTAGACATGTACTAGGAACTGCATTTGGCAAAAATACATTTCATCAAAATATCCATGATGCTATTAACATCGGGTGTGAACCAAGTATTGAAAGTGGAACAAGCGTTTGATTTTCATCTAGTGCACATTAGGTATTGATCGTTTTCAGGGGCGGAACAGATAAACGAGACAAGGTGACCAAGAATAGAAGTTAGTGGAGCGACGCTGTACGGTTTGCTTGTTGAAATCCCGTGCCCCATAAAATAACAATAACCTAAAACACAAAAGATGTCAAAAGTATGGAATGAAACAAACAAAAGTTTGTTATTCCCGTTATTTGCCTTAACTGTCTGACCCCATTTTACTGTGCTTTGTATCCCAACCACCTGTGGCCTGTTATCCTAGTTGTGGCGTTGGCGCCAAGCCTACTCGCAAACTGGTGATTATACATATGCATGTACTATATGAATATTATATGCATTATATTATATATTATATTATAATATACATTATATTGTATTATATTATGTTATATATTATATTATGTATTATATATATGTGGATAGTCATGCAGTGGTTTCGTGGCGTACACGCATATTTCATTTACCATCCATTGGAGACTTAATTATTCATCAACGGTCCACTGTTGGATGCTGAAAATCAGAGAGTTTATTTTGGTTTTGATGTGCGGTAGAGAAACGAACACTTGAATTCCTAAACGACAAACGTGAATGAGCAGAAACACCAAAGTTTTCGATGAATAAGTTTGGTGGTTTATCGATTGAATAAATATCTTATAAGATATACAAGACTGACCAAGTGTGTTTGCTTACCGAACTGTGTTGAGAAAAAGTGCGTTTCTACAAAGAAAAAATCTGACGGATTGGTCATTTCAGACATGTTTACGATACAGACAACATAATAAGCTGACAATATGTGCTTGTTTTGTAAATCTCTGCACAGAAAAAAATAACTTATTTATCACTAGGGGGCGGTGTTTAACGTAAACAGAGTGAAGGAAATGTGAATTCAAAAGCTCGGCAGCAGGGCATTGATTAAAAGTACTATCTACCATGTGACTTCGTCAGGGATACCACAAGGGATTTCAAAGGCTTCAAACAATCGTTCTATACGTCTCAACAGAAATATATGTGGTGATTTAAGAGTGATTACATTACATGTGAGCTGTGCTTGAAGGTACTTTGCCTCAAACATCTGCCTCACTAGGAACTGTCAAGTTTTGTGTTCTCATTTCAACCAACAAACGTTTGACCAGTTACATTTGTCACACTCCGATAACTATAATTGCTATGATACGGCCACACTTCAAGATAAATGATCGCCGGGCGTTCAGAAGAAACGTCTAATCATTTCCTTGAGTTTAAAAATGACGAAAACTATAAGCGATCAAAGTGGTTTTGACTTGACCAGTTGTGTGAATTTGGTGCTCACGAAGCTGGATAATGATCTAACGAGAGACTGACGGTCTTTTAGAAATATGAATATCACAGCATCTGCTTCCTGTTATGTTCATACGCCCATGCGCTCAGAGTGCGTGATTTGACAATAATGTGAACTCATAAAAGTAAAACGAATGCCATTTTGCTGATGCATTTAGATTACGCAGTTATTTGTGGTAATGCATCGTAGTGTGCAAAAGCTCTGGCTGATAAAATTGGAGTCAGATTGGGCACTACACCAACTGAAGTGGAAAATATTTGCCTGATGATCAAAATCAACTATTGCCCTTGGTTAATTATTCTTTAGTGGATCAAATTTATGTAGTTTTTTATATAGCAATCAGTTCAAGTAAAATGCTTCTCGTTTACGGATTAATTTACTCAGTGCCGCTTTCTGGTAACATGTTACCTACTCCTTATGACAAATAATCGGGATTTATCCCCGATTTTACCTAGTGATTGGGAGCTTTTTTGTAGAACGTTTCATACTAACCAAAACAAAATAAAGTGATTTATTCCCCAGGTTTTAGTTGGTCGTTATGACGATTGTGCCAACGAGCTTCAAACGGAGTTAAAAATGGCCAATGATGAATATTTTGATTTATTAAATGCTCGGAGTTCAAAGAATTCAATAACAAGTGAGTTCATTCCGGAATATTTGATCCAAAATGATAACCGGGAGGCACAAAAACCAATGAATTCATTTGAACTACTCCAGGTTAGAAAGGAACTGTTTATTTGAATTATTGAAGCTGAATTCATCCACTTGACTCTAAAAATTTTACTTGTTCTCAAGTTCGATGTCAGTACAAAGATGTATATTTTTGTTTGGATGATACATTCATGCTTTTCATTTCCCATATCTGAAAATCCGGTTTACTGGAAGCACAATACTCCACATTAAAAAAACCTAGGTTGTCAGTTCATGAAAAATTCATATTAATGACAAAGTTGACATTGTACAGAGTTTCAATCTTGTTCAAAGATTGATTTAGTTGTAAACCGATGACCAAGAAGTTCAGAAGTTTAGGGGATAGAGAACGGTTCACCGGGTTTAATTATCCAATGTTTCATTTGATATGATTATGTTTTAGTAACCATATATTAAACACAGTTTTCGGGTAGATAAATGTTTTCTCAAGCTGCTTCCAGAAATCAAACGGCTTTGTGTTTGTGTGATTTTCAAAATAAAATCGTTGCCGAATTTCAAAATTGAACGTGCTGTTCCCCCAAACCAGTTTTTAGAAGGCGAATAGGTATTCACAGAAGAGGTGATAGACAGGTGAAGTACGGTTATAAGCGAATGCTATTTCAGAGGACAATAAAGGCACTCATGGTATATTGAATATATATATATATATATTGATTACCTTAATAATCCTCAGGCGGTGTTCATTATTGAATGGGTAACCTAAATGAACTAACAATAAGCTATACGTGATGGATGATGGGGTGCAATTTGAGCAAGCGGAAGTAAAACTGACAGTATAGCTTTACTGACGGATTTGGAGTGCAGACAGTCATCTCCGTAACCCGAGGCAACCGGCTATTACCTCATGAAGAGCCAGACAATGCAGGAAGCTGGTGCTATTGCATGATGTGTATAATAACTTGATAAATTGTTTCCTCAGTGACAGTATAACTGAACCACGTGGTATGAATAATACAGTTTAAGACAGGTGTTTTTCCAAAAATCAGAAAACTCCAAAGAGCACCCCGAGGTTGGTAACCGAAAAACAGTTGAACGATTCGGAGGAAGTCACTGTTTGTGTAAATTCGATAAGAATAATGATATCCGTGCATATTAAGTTAAAACAAAGTTTGCAGGCATTCGATGTGGAGTCAGGAATTCATCAGCTTCTACTCGAAGTTGGTGATTCAATGATGGATATTTGAGAAAGCACATTGACAAGTAACGGGAAAGAATCAATCGTTCATCATCTCACTTGAAGTAAGGTAGGTATTGTAGTTGAACCAGGACATTGGCATACTTTGTTTACTTAATAAAGAACTAAGTATTGTTTTTGAGATTGCTCGTAGTTAAAAATCTCATTGTTTACAAAGAAGATCATGGAAACAGTTCTAATGAAGTAGTTGAGAGAAAAAAGTACATCGTTTTTAAGCATTGAGAAAAGCCAATTTATTGTTACATCGTGTTGGAGGTATTTATAAATAATAATATTAGTAATGATTAACTCTTATGGCTCTTTACTGAGCGTATCAATAAACAGTCAGTATTTCGGCCGGAAAATAGTTGTCTAGACAAAAACAGAATGAGTGGGAGAAGAGGAAGAGCTGGGGGGGGAGTGGAAGAATAGCTTAGGTAGGTAGGATTTTAAATCGCCACCCAAGGATCACTTTTGGGATTAACTTAACCACCAGCACCTAAGGTGGAGACATAATTATGCAATCTGTGTGCTGGGGTTTCTCTTGGAATTTTTAAATTCTGTTCTGATGGACAAACAAGTGAAATGTACGTTGCTATGTTTATTTATACGTCTAATATTACTGGTGTCCCTGACATCTTTTGGGAAGATAATCGTGAATGGGGATCCAATAAATATAGTGTTCGGCGTTGGATTACTTGCAATCGGGAAATATTTGGCCAATAGAAGCTCATTAGTTCTATAAGCATACTCAAAATCTCCGGAGTTAAGTACAATACTTGGGAGCATGAACAATAAGAGTGATTTGTACAATTCATTTGCTAGTATATACTTCAATTTATTGATTGGAAAATAACCTCCAGAATATCTAAGTTAGACCCAATCTCCATGTTTTGTATTTCAACCTAGTCCTCTATTATTCTTGTTTTCGCATTAGCACCATACTTTTTTGCAAGCCAGTGGTATATATACCAATATTTAAGTACATGATTTGTCCAACCTTTCACACCATACAACTATTTGTTCACCTAGCGGAACTCCGCAGGGCAACTTAACGCGTTAATTTCAGTTCATCTTGATTGTCTGTTTTGCATAAATGTCAGTCATTTTTTGTCTTCTATTTCTGTTCATTCCGAGTTAGCTTTCATGTTCTGAGGAAAAAAGCTTATCATCTGAATTTTGTGCGCCTATATAGAGGACGAATGATTTATCGTACTTTTATGCATCCACCGCAAGCGGGGGTTGAGATAGAAACGTGTTGATTAAATAGAATATAAAATGTGTACGGCGATGAGAGATTAGTGGAGTGACTGATGAACTCTGAAGTGTCAAATTTATCTAAACCCTTGTATAAATGCCGATTTTAAACTCTCTTCAACAGAGAATGAACTTCAAAATCAAATTGAACTGTACAAACAGGTGAGTCTATTGATAAAATCTAACCCGACCCAGGAGACGTTTTCTTGTTTTGTTATCCGTGACAATTAGTTCCTTGAATACGTGATTGATTGGCGGCGCCGATAAAGCTGTAATCTTGTCCGAAGGTATGTGAGATAGTCAACTCAATATAGAAAATACAAAAGGATTAACAATACTATTAATTCTAAGTTCAACGCGACATTAGAGAAGATATAAATCGATCAATTCTGTGGAAATGTTTCAGCCATGACTGGCTGGAATCAGCAACAGACCGTCCGATATTTTATGCACTCGTAGTATAAAGCAAGGGGAATAAGGGATAACATGATTTGCTACGGGAGATCCATCACCCAATGAGTGAGAGATAAAAGCCCACGTAACATTGATTAATTACTGCGGTGTGACAAATCCCCCTAAAAGTAGATTCCGATATAGCCAGATGTACCAGTGATGAGTTACAAAAGCCCAAATTTGTTCTGATATCAACTGAATAATTTTCATAAAACTGAAATTGTTGAAGGAAAATCTCCAGGTCTTAAATCGCAATTTAAGCAGATTACCAGATTAAGCTCTATAGGGACACCGTTATTGCAATATTTTAATCTCTTTTTTTGTGCGTTCCGTACCCCTAACGTTTCTGCAATTTGGGATTTTTGTCAAAATATTGATGATAGGTCTGAACTCAGAAATGTTCAGTTTTAGATTGAAAACCTTTGAGTGAACGAATTACTGAAACTCAAGTTTTCATTCTCAACAGGAAATCAATGATGCTTTACGGATGAATAAGAAGCAGGAAATCACAATATCCAACTTGAAAAAGGTAAATAGTATTGATTCTGGGGTTCGCATTTAATCGCATTTGAGAGGAAGCGAAACGATACCGAGACGAGCTGGAATTGGCCATGAAATCTCAGGCAGCAAACAAGGTACGTGATGTCCCATGCAACCAGAAAAAAACTTAGTTTTTTAACTTCTGGATGGATGAGTCGGAAGAGCAAAAGAAGAGCTATAGTTTGCCAAATCGTTTGGCGGAATAACCTATGGTTACTAGGGGATAGGTTTCCTGGATTAATGTGAAACCTTACCATTAATGATTCAGTTGGTTTGATGACGATAGACTATCACTATCAATGGACGAGAGAAGATGGACAGTGATGGGACTAGGTTCTTCGACATGCATTATTTCTTTACAGCTGTTATTCCACTGATGCAATCATCGTTGTTTCTACATCAACTTGGTCGATAGTCACAATGCAGTCTGTATTATTTTCGATAGCCCAAGCGTTAATGACACAGGCCTAATGAGAAGTATTATGAGGAGTTTGAAACTCTTATTCTTCCTTTTCCAGTACAGTAAAGTTAGAATACACTGTTGAATAATTTAGCTTCAGTAATTACTGTGATCAGGTTATTCTTGTCTCTGTGATCGAGTTTCAAACTGGTGTTCACATTATTTTTAAGACGTTTTACCTGGAGGAGTTTGTAAACTCTTTTTTATTGATTTCTCTAATTTCCAGTTTGGAGGAATCTGATTGTGGAGAATGCTCTTTGTTTCGCAATGTTTCAGTAAAATGATTTGGAATAATTAGTTAACTTTGAAATAATCCTTTCAAATAGGTAAATATCGCAACTGTTTCATCAGGAACGCACAAACTTTACATATTGTTCTCTGCTGATCGTCTCCTACTTTTACCCCATTTCGTGCCCATTTCGCCGCTTTTCATTTTTAATTGTACTTGCTGCATTAGCACTAGGCTGGATCCAAAGCCGGTGAAATAAACAATAATTATAATGAAAAGAGCGTACATACGTTTGGAGAATATTTGAAATAATCTCTCTCTCTGCGATCGGCAGCTCTTCATGAACACCGCATTTGATTGAATTTGAGAAACATCATCCGTGAACACCCGTCTTGAAACCAAAAAAAACATTTTCTATTATGTGAAATTTTTAAGGTAACAGAAATCACAAAGAAATGAACTATGCTGAAGGAAGCGGTGATATCAATTTTCAAACTTCTCGCAAATATTTTATGCCTAGCCCCTTTCCTTCAAATCATCCATTGCGGACAAGTGAATTAGACCTCATCAACTAAGAAATGAATAGAAATTAGTCCATCCTCTTCACAGTCATTTCTACAAGGCCGGTATTCAGTTTCCCCTTGACATTCACAAGTATCAATTATCCGAGCATTCCCACAGGAGATATGGCAAATAAAACACAGAAAAGCAAACACTCGTGTTTCCCGTGATCCACAATCGTGCCAAATATATCACTCTATATATCACCAGTCAAACAGAGAAATTGCTTGTGGTGTTGGAGGGAGGAACAGATGGCAGTTTGACAGCGATCTGGGACCAAATCAGAAGTCACAGCGATCACAAACGTAACGTTTTATAGGATCGTGTGGGTCATCGAGGTGCTTCGTGTGTCGAGTAGCCCATAAAAGCCGAGGCATATCAGTATACCTGACTTTAGAGTAGAGCTTCATTCGGAAAATCTCGGATGCATCGGTCTGTGCTGCTTCCATGTTTGTTTGTATGGTATGCTTATGAAATCACTAAAAATGAGCTGATCCAGCGATTCCTTTTGCTTAAAATAATAAGTTAAGAAACCCCGAAAGGAGATGATACAGTAATAAACCGGTAAGAAAATTGATGCTAATTTATCAAATTATTCATGATATTCGTAAAATATAATTACAATCAAGTAAAAACTGAAGACTACATTCCAAAATGAGATTCATTTGTGTTCGTCGAATTTATACGATGAAAACACTTACACAGACCGGTTTAAAATTTAACTAACGTGGAATTCTAATTTTTATTTCAAGTATTTAAATAACTCCCCTAGTAAACGAAACTATCATTCATTCAAGAGGAAACCGAGCCTTTATATCAATCGATTTCCAGATAGGTTGCCACGGCGAGAGATGTTTACCGAGGCAGGTAGCGGTTGGAAAAAGGTCAAGGGTGGTCAAACGAACACCTGGCATGAGGGTATGGAAACCCTAACCAGGAGACTAGGTCACATGGGCCCCGTTAGGTTCCCTGGCTGGGGACTCTGAGATGATGGTTACCGATGGTTAAATACACTGAGTGATATGCCTGGGTGTTGCAAACAGTGGGGCTCGTGCACCCACTCATTATTCTCCTAACATCACTCTATATAAATTCTTCATCTTCCGCTTGAATTAGGTCTGAACATTCCAATCTTCATTCTGCTCTTTTATCCAAATGGTCTGCCAAAAGACAGCAACCAAAACCAGCGCATGAAAGTGCATGGTTAATGGTTGTGAAAACTGAATTTGACTGAAACTCTCCTGGGCTTATTTTAACAGGAGTCCTTCAAACGGCATCTTTCATTAAACCAACCCGGTAAAGAACAGAGAGAAGATCAAGCCGAGGTGCACATGAGAAAATGCAGTGACCAACCACATGCATCGACCAAACCGGGACACCAGTCGGGTTTCGGTTATTCGGACGAATTTACCCATCAACTGCTGGATGTGACATTTCAACTTCATGAACAACTGTCACACAGTCATTCACGAAGGCACCGAGAGCACAAAGAAATGGATCGTTTTGTAGACAATCTGAATAACATGTATCGGCAAAGTATTGCTCAGTTACGTGAGCAGCAACGTAAAGATTTGCAAACTCTGAGTGGCACTTTGCAACGATCTGCCCAGAACCACTTGGGTATCCTTGTAAGAGAACAACAGAAGCTCAAAGCGCGGTGAGTTTTGTGAAAAGCTTTCCCGTAGTTTTAGGTCGGTGACAATTTTCGTAAACGGTTAAACACCAAAAACGCAAGAAAAAGTACGTATAACTTGATATTGTATCGTATTGTATCTTGCTGTGTTGTAATGATTTGTGCAGGCAACTATGCCTACATTACAATCAAAAAGTGTGTTCACCGATGCAAATGGATAAAAATTGAAAATACATATACAAAATGATAAAAATGAAAAATGAATTCATATTTTTAGGTTTTAAATTAGTTCGTTTTGGATCTGCATCTTGTTAGTTAGAATAGGATCCAGGTAGGATACCATTGAATTGCGATAAATGTTCATGCGGTAGGGTGAGCTGCGATTATTGGATATGGTTGTAGCGTAGGAAAGGCAAGCAGATAAATCGGTGTTAAGTGGATGACTGGGGTCGTGAAGTATTTTTTGGGCGAAATTCTTAAGTGAAGTTTTGTGAAAAACACAATTTTATGGTAAGAGTGTTTAATGGAGTAAGAGAAACACAGCTTTGATTACCGAACCGCGACGAAGAATAATGAACTCCTTTTTAGGCAGTCCCGGGAAAATGACGGTCTAGCAGTAAAGTATGACAGGAAAAACGCATTGATAAGCAAAATAACATAGTTGCACGATTCAATGAAGGTTGGCTGTCTTGCGTATCTGGAAGGATGGACAATGCAGTCTACAAACACAGGTTGGCACATGAGAGGACTACTGTAGATTGTAGTGTATGGTGACTCCTAGGTATTTGGTGGTATATGTTCTGGTGATGAGTACAGAATTGATGACTGAAGGTTCCAAGGAATAATCGAATACTTTACTTTTCATGATAATTGTTTAAGAGTACAAGTTTGTTTCATGTTGTAAGAAGCTTAAACAAAACTGATTTAAAGTATCAACATGTGGTCAATAATTACATGGCTTTTGTATAAATGATCAATATTGATTGAAGCTATAAATGTACCCTCTGAACCTGCAAAAATTAGCAAAAGCTTTTCAGTTAAATGCTTCGTTGGTTTCCAAATGTGCCTAAATTCACCATCAAATTTCATTAACTTTGGTAAAATGAAGTCAGTAGTCTGTTACGGATCCCAACATGTATTTTCCGTCATGCAAATAGTCTTCGAAATGAGTTTCGTAAGCAATCGTCCCCAATTTACCCTTAAAATTTCCACAAGAAATGCTTCAAAAATCTCATTTAATCATCTTTCATTTCTTTCTTTATAACTTTCTTTTTCTTGCGTTTCATTTTATCATCTATCTTTTGTAACTTATTTTCTATCTCGCACTTTGTTATATATATATACTTGTAATGATCAACAAAGCAGATCGTAGATTTCAAAAACGTCGTTTAATATGGGCCTTGTTTATTAACCTTCAAAAATGACGTTAGTCGTCTTCATGTTGTGTTATGCTCCCTGTTTAGCAAATGCCGCCGTCTAAGTTTGCCGGGTGTATCTGTGCAAGTTTACTGACTGCTTGATTTGCATTACAGTGTAGATAGGGAGCACAACACTTTCGAACTTGCATTCATTATGAATCTCACACACGATAAAGGAAAAACTCCTCAATGGCTCAGCTGTTGTCAGGTCGCAGCTAATATAATCAAACAAATACAAGCATCTACAGGGTCCGTTCAACTATTCTGATACCTACAGTTATATGAAAATATTTGCTTGTGGCGACAATTTCCCAAAGGATTTAGTACAAGGCAAGGAACAAAAAGTAAAGCAAGCTTCAAGCAGTTGGTGGTTCACGGTTGACCATGTACAAAGCCTGCTTTTGGCAGGATAAAAGCAAATTGTTGTGAGACACTAGAGAAAAAACTGGCCTACATAAACATCAGTTGTTTACATCTGTGTGGTGTCGTTTCGCTGCGATCCGGTGCATGAACAAAGGGTGGTAGTGGTCTGACAATACAGCACCTGAATCAGACAAGTATAGATTTATAAACATTCGCATTTATACTGCACGTTAAAATTATAAGAGCAGTCAGCCGTTCCCTTCCCATTTCGGTAAAACTAGATATATAATTTGATTTCCGATGGAACCGATTCAAAGGTGTTTCCAGTGAATAACTTCATCGAATATGGATATTTGAGGGACAAATATGTTGGGATAAAGTAGAATAAAAATTTTGGGACAATCCGGTCACAACTACCCTCTAATGATTCAGCGACTTTTCGTGTTTCGGGATGATTTTTCGAGGACAGTTAAGTGTTCATTCATGAAACGCTGCCTATTTTTAGTCGTTGTCAGGTATTATAGTTCTTCAGGTTCAATATCGCTGGATCGGAAGATTCCGTTTTTCAGTTTTGCTGTTTCTCATTGTAACGCAGGGTTGTAGCCTATCGTAGGAAGAAGGGAGTATGTTAGCACTAACACACAGGGAAGGTATTAGACTGCAGCGAGGTAACAAGCTAATGTGAACATAGCACTACAGAGGTTCGTTTTATTCTGATTCATTTAAGGGAACAGTAATAGGGCACTAAAGATGAGGCTTGGACTGGCGTGCTCAACACGATCTGTGCGGTGAACACCAGACGAAAAGCTATTAAGGAAGTATATAAATGCGAGCGCGGTCGGTTCTGTGGATTAGCATCAAATTCAATGAAGTTTATATTAGGTTGAAGGCCACGTATAAACGGAAGTGATGTTCGGTAATTTGCGTAAGATTGATCTGAAGGAATCGCATTATTCACGTCACCTCTGGACAGCGTACCAACAAATGGTGCATTATAGCCATGAGGTCCCTTTCCACCCCGTTTGAATCAGCTGATAAGTTCGAATGAGAACCAAAATGCAACCACCTTTGTGAAAATCCTTCCGTTTATCACGACGAAGATAGGTGTGTGAGCATCTTTCCCACACAACAGCACCGCGGCTCTCTCCCTTATGATAAAATCGATATTTCTAAATTGCCGTGTTGCAGTCTCTATCTCATCTCTACTGAGAATCATTCTGAATTGTCGTTAGGCAGGTGAGTATAAAGATGTAACAAAATACTGAGGTTTCTTTGTTATACTTAATGCCGCCTTAAACGCAGAGTGGTACATGTTACAACTGCACCTGCCAAGCAGTTTATTGGCATCATAAGTGGAACGTGTATAGAAAATTTCAGTTGGTATGAGTTGCTGCAACGTTTGTAATCACTGTATAAAACTGGCTGTTCTGGTAGTCGGGTTAATGAATGTGGATAAGAATAGAATAACTCTAAAACTTAAGCGCTCACTGGTTGTATGTTCAAGGTATTTCGTCTGAATTTTTTGAATTTATCGTCGATTTCTATGGTAGCTTTCATCTTTATCGAAGTTATAGTAACCTTTAGCGAACGTCGTCCCTATTGCTTACCGAGCATGAGGTTATTCGTGCGAATTAGGAGAAGTGATAATTCTAGTGACCACCAAACGTTTTCAAAAGATTGTAATTATGGTCGAAGTAATGCAAATACCACAACAACCATTGGTTATGCATGAACGAAAATCATCGTCAAGGTCTGCTCAACCCCATCTATTGGTAATCATTTTCTATCATATTTTGGGCAGACCGCTTTTGGACCCCCCCATGTCAATACTTTTCCAAACCTTCTATTTCACGTAGCCCGTGACCAAACTATCTCATTTTCTATTCATCCAGCACACCCAAATACATACCAATGAAAAATTGTAAACTACCCAAAATAATTATAACGGGGAAAATTTGTGCATATGCTTCCACACTGTCTCATGGTTTATTCCGCAGTGAGTATGGCTCAGACTGTGTGTGGGTTTGAATATCCGGATAAAAACCCGTAGAGCGGAAGTTCGGGACACTTATTTGGCCCAACAACATTCACAATCGATGCGAAACAGATCAGCAGGGTCTCAGCTATAGTGTTCTTTTACCTCATTGAGTGTTTAACCGAATCCTAAAGTACAAATATTCGTGACTATTTCTCTATTGACAGGTTACTTAGAGCCGAAGAAACAGAGAAGGAATCGAAAATTTTAATCCAAGATCTGAAGAATCAGGTTTGTGAACTCACAAAACAGTTGAATAGAATGTGTCCACGATCAGAGCCCACACGTGGAATTTGATATCATTTGATCGCACTGTGCGACTTTTGTCTCTCTCTCTCGCTCTCTCTGATGAAAAGCACCCTAATCTTGTCTGATTCCTGTTTATAATAATCACAAAACGAAGCAAGAACAAGTGATGCAAATTTAACACTCTTGCTTCGTGCACATACAGGTGTTTTTTGCAATAGAAAACAAGCAGACCAGTACCCATTTCCCTTTCCAATCCACGAGTGAACTGATGACATCGCTTTATCAAGCTTTAATCGTTTCATTGTTTCGTCAAGCATAATTTGTCGGTGACATTTGACTGTCTCCCCAAAGTGAGAAATGAAGAGAGTAACAATCCAGTAACAATCCGGTTCTCAAGGAATATTAATGCTTAATATGGTGAGATCAATTAGAAGAACTTATCACCGTCACGAGGAAGTGCTATTTCCGATTCGTGGATGATGCAGTGATCAATGTGGAGTTTATCGATCACGTTTGTTTAAATACACGGATTTGCGCCATCAGCTCGGCCTTCAAAACAGCAAGTTGGTGTGTGTATCAAATGACAAAGTTTGGAACACAATAGCCTGATTCAAATGCTCTTCTCTGAATTTTTCTTGTTTCACTCACCATGTTCTCAATTTTGGAAGCTGGGGAAACCGCATTACTTAATTGATGGCATTAGCCTTCAGTGTTTCCAAGAGAACTAAAAAATTACTATTCAGGCTATCACTTTCCTCTAACGGTTGGTTCAAACATACAACGTTCACTAAGGATAACTTGGTATTAAAAATTACTAAGCATGTTAACACGAAAGGCTCTCAAGAAGATGTCCCATGCATATTGGAAGCTAACATCTGGAGTCGACTTCACAAGTGGGAGTTTGAACGTTATGATCCGAGGCACAATTGAACTTCTGAAACTCACCGACGTGGTCGACTAAATAAGAAAAAGCATTGTTTTTTATTCGCTCATCATGAGTACACCTATTTTAAGACAACAGGGGTACATTGTCGGTCGAAAAATTATTGATATTGCGTCGCCTGCTCTGAACTAAGTTGTTGCTCCTTGGAGTGTTAGTTTCACGAAAATTCTTTGCGAGGGTTGACTTTGTTCAGTTAATTACTTTTGGCTGGGAGCTTAGTCTCAGAGAACAGTTCGGGTTTTGTAGTTGGGTTACGAGTCACCATCATCTGATAGCGTTTTACTGGCTGATCTTTATTGCCACATAAACGCATAGATTTTAATTAAAAGGCATGTTGAAGTTGTAGAAGCTATTCGAAAATAAGTAAATGAACCTTTACAACCGAAAAAATACAATCAAAATATAAATATGTATCACTACGCAAAAACATTTTGATCCTATCACTGCTTCTGTTTTTCTCAGCTTTCAGATGCAATGCGAAATGCCATGCGAAATTCTTGTATTATAGCTATAACATTCGAACTCATCAAAGTGGTTCATACGAGCTCCTGAAGAACTTCCGTAGTTCCATCATAACAAAAGCGGTATTGCAAAGAAGACAGATTTTAAAACTTTGTCATGAGGCATGTAGAGTTGTCGGCTTGTTTATTCATATTAAAAATTTGCCCGAGACGTTTGTTGTGGTTATTGAGTTTCCCTGATCGTAAAGCATAAAAACTAATGAATTGAGATGTGACTTCAGCCCTATTACGAATAAAAGGTACACATGATACGAGGACAACTGAATTTGACAAGTTTTCAAAATTAACCTTTACATCTTTCTTCCTCTAATCTTTTTTCACACACAACTTCTTCAAAAGGAGACTTGTTTCTAGCCCATTCAACAATTGGCCTAGTCCAATTCTCACGACTTACGTGCACACACTCACATCTGATGCCCAAGTTTCGCAAACAAAGTTGCTAGTAGTATCATTCGAACATCCTCGTTCATTGTTGTACGAAACGGGGCATAACAGCCTTGCGTCATGATCCTTTTGCGTATCATCCAATGTTCACCCGTGGTTGTACATATCGACGCATCAGTATTACGGAGATCACAGGAAAACGCATTTTTCCTATGAGCCAAGTCGAAATCTCGGTTTTGTCACGCTGTCATCCTTTATATGTGGGTTGTGATTTTTAATTATATATTTTTACATCAACGCGGTAGAAAAATTTCAAGAAATCAGAATTGTGACTCCAATTGAAAATGTATGACATGATATGAATGGGATGATGGACTACTTCTCACTTTGCTCTTTCATTTTAAACACGCCCTGTGGGGAGAAGTTCCCTGTTGAAAAGTCCATTTACCCTTACAAGCAATGTTTACTTGTCCAGTCTTTTCAAAAATCCTAAGGAGATCATCAAATCAATGAATCTAGAATAAGCAGGATATGGCGTTTAGTAAGCTTATCGGGCGTAGCAATTTATCAACCTGGTACATGCTAGATAAAAAATGCACTAGTCTGCATAAATCCTAAGTAATAACGCGATCCCTTGTTGATTTTGCTCACACCGTGAACAAGTCCACCGTTTAGTTTAAAATGACACAAACACCAGTAGGGCCTAGTGTCTGACTAAACGCTTTGGAGTGTGTGTCGTTTCTGGACGGGAATGGGGATCAACCTGAAAACCATTGTTCGTCCCATTTTCTCATGGATTTCGAAATTAACAAGAAAGATGAATCGCTTTTTTGCACAACGAAATGCGTGGTTTACTGGTGGGAAGTTTCACCTTTGAGAATCATCAATCATTCAGACGAAACACATGCAATTCACGAAAACGACGAGAATGGGTGCAGTTTAGTCACCGCTCATGAACGTTTCGCAAAAGATAGATTGAGAACTCGTATTCGTGGTGAATATATTGCTTACACAATGAGAGTTTGTATGTGTGTGTGTGTGCATGTCGTGTATCGTTGAGAGTATCATTTAAACGGTCCGATAAAGCCACATATTATGATTATGTCACTGGTACTAGAAACGTAGGAAAGCAAAAGTCTATACCAATGAAATATGCTCCAAGTCACACACAACAAGGTATATTTATCACGGATGACTAAGAGTGACTGAAACGCAAATTAGGAGAATAAAGAACAGTCCTCAGACCACAAGTCCCTGAACAGCACAAACATGGTTTGTACGTAGACATTCTCCGTCACACAGCACGCTATTCTTTAGATAACGCCATACAACTTGCTACAAACGTGAGAACATTGGTAACACAGTTTGAAAGTAGTTTAAAGCAGCTTCAATAATTCGTGTTCCGTCTTATTTCGAACAAAATCAATCCCTGTGTTGTGAGATATTACTCATTTGTGAGCAGTAGGTAATATAGTTTGTGATTAATTTCAATGACCAAAAATCAACAAGATCACTGAGGGCAATTTTCTAGGTCTCAAAGAAGAATTACTGATTACTGCATTCATTACCCGTCGTGTGACCAGGAACTGCGATGGTATGTTTCTGATTAGATTTTTGTGTTACATATGCCAAATTGGTGATGTCCCATCTGAAATCCTCAAGAAACGATTGACCTCTACCGGCAACGTCTTCTGGAATTATAATACCTGGATATCCAGTCCAAGTCTTCTATATAGCATCCGAAGTTTGAACCGTTGTGTATCATCATCGCATCCATTTCCTTTTAGTGGATTAGACTATGTGATTCTGACTAAATGCGATTTTCCGACATATTTTTTTTAAATTTTGGAGTGATCACCGTGAAAATGAAAGTGAAACAAATAAATGCTAAATTTATCGTCTGCCTGTGCCGAGTTGAATCTTTGGCCAATAAGAGAAATAGACTCAAAAATCATATCTTGAAATTATTTAACCTTTCAATTCAAATGATGTTTTTGTGCTTATCATTAAGTTTGGGAACGAAGAATGGTGAACAGTATCTCACATTAGTCTTCCTATGGTAACAACGAACCCACCCACAGAAGTAACCATTCTCTCTGTATTCCCACTGCTGGAACATGTCGCTCCAGAAATAAAATTAGCACTGTACGGTTTGTAATACAAACTCAAAAAGGATCACGGGTTTTGTAGTTGGTTGCCATTATTTGCATTCGGTAAAAGATTTATTCACCCTTGTGTAAAAAGATATTATTTATTGAAATGATTGATCACGAATAGTCAATAGAAAAAAGATCAAAAGATGTAATAAATTTCCATCTAAATGGCAACTGCCCTCTAATAGGTAGTTATCAATTTTTATTAGGACACAAAATCATCGCATGATATCGAATCAAACAACCGTTAAATTCTACGACGATCCTACTGGTGTCTGAATCAGTTTCCACTCCAATTCGGGCTAAGCTTAGTGACCTCTACGAGCAGCTTTTAGGTGTTCGCATCTCGAGAACATCGGGTCGCTGGTGATCATCCGTACCCAGCTGCGAGTTCTGGTTGCACAAGTACCAGAGGGGTCTTAGACCGATGAGATGTTTTTCATTGTGTCATTCTCCACAATCCACTGAGCAATCAGATGTTTGGTCCAGACAGAAAATAAAAGGCTAGCGTTTGAAGAGATTGATTTTATCTGAAAAGCAGTGGCGGTTTGCACGCTTAGGTGATAAAGTTCGTTGTAATCAGTGTGTCTGTGTGTGTGGTAACGTGGACCCATAAAATCCGCATGGTTTTAGCCGATCAAAACGAGTGCTTCAAACGGTGCAGTATGCTTTAGGCAAGCAAACGTTTTGCAAGTAAAACTTGCAGGCAATTTTATTCATCTTTGTTTGGGCATGGAATGATTATTGAATACAGCGGTAGCATTCCTGTAACAAAAACGATTCCAGCGTTACGCGGTCTGAAGAAGATTATAACTTGATTGTATCATTTCGTTGGAGTTCGTGGCGGCGTTTTAACACATTACTGCCGGTTGTGTAAGAACCTACGAGACTATTATGAGTACGTAGTGAACTATCGCAGATCCAGAGTGTGGAATCATTCCGTTTTACGTACAATTCTCTGAACCATAAAGTCAAAAGTGATTAAAATAAAAAACATGAACCCCCATGTTTCTGAAAAGCGAAGGTTATTGTTAAATGACAGAAGTTTGTCATTGTGTGATGATCAGGGTTATTCAGAGGAGCGTTGCTAATCCTTCAAGTAAATCCCTGACTAACCAAATACTATAGTTTTCTCCTTTCTTCTATTTCTTCAACGAATGGAAAATAATTTGTATTCTTTCCAATTTCGTTTCCTCTCTCCTGGTATGTACAATACCTTTAATAACCGCATATTCGCTATCCGATGAGTGAAGCGAACGGAAGTAAGGTAGGTGCAGCAAGGGGGCGTACCATAGGATGTCGATCATGGGTCTTCCGGATATTACGGAAACAAGATGTGGCCAATCTAATAATGTTTCTTCCCAGAAGAAACGAATATGAACTTAGCAACTATGAGAAACGTTTTCCTTGTAGGTTGATGTATGTGGTTCCGGATGCGTACAAAGAATTTCGTACAAATGCATTATCCAAAGTTGTTTTCGACGCGGGAATGAATCTAATACGATTGCCTTGATGTCTGCAGGAGACAAAACATTGTATTTAATATCCCTTCATTTTGCGATACTTTTGACTTTAGCTTTTATATTTTAGCTCTCACTAAATAGTTTTAAATCAAACGTAATCAGTCCGTGGTATTATTTTTCTACCCAATTATAACGCGGATTAATTTGAACGCTTCACGTCGTTGTCCAGTGTTGTTTTTAAGTGCAGGGATTCTTAACTGTTTCTGTTTTTCTACTGTTTGATGCTAGACGAAAGGACCTCGACGGAAGTCAGCTTCCCAATCCAATTGAGGCAAGTTCAGTAATTTGGTAAAACGGAAAACAAACTATTTTCATATCTGAATTAATTTATTTTGTCCTATTTTAGTTTACCTTTTATAACAACCATTATGGTGGTAAACTCATTAGTCACTAATGGATTTGAGGTTCTCAACTCTTAACTGGACCAAATTTATGTCATACCTTGAGTTACACAAAATATTTACTGCCATAGTGTGAAAGTAGTTATTACTGAAGGGAAGACTGCACTGGTTATAAGCACCGGTCCAAATAATATTGTTTTGCATACACATCGATAGAAAAGAGTAGATTATTTTGTGGTGTAAGACCGAAGTCCTGTAACTGTTTGTGAGAGCCCCTCCGCAAGAGGTTCAATGAACAACAGAAATGCTTTTAATGAAAGAAAGTCGAACAATTACCGTTTTCTGGGACGCGCCCTATTTTGCGCTGCTCACAAAATATATCTATGCGAAAGCAAATGGTGATACTTATTTACTGCAGCAATGACTGGGTGAGAACAAATAAAATATCCGTTTGAGTCGGGATACACTTTTAGGCATTCATCTGAGTAAATTTCTATTGTTTTCTATATCAGTTTCAGTTTCCGTTTGTACAACCATTTACTATACACTTCCGTGAGCCGATTTTGGTTGCTTACTTTTGGCTGCCCATTTGAGGGAACAGTATTAGGAAGACAATAGGTTTGAAAGTAG